GGCGTACAAAAAGGAATCAAGAGTGACTCTAAATGTGTGGGTAGAAATGGGTAGAAATGGGGGCAGAGCACGTTTCATGAGGGGGGAGAGGGTGGGGGGCGTCGCTAGTTGAAATAATTATTTCTGATCGATTTTTGATCGATCAAAGCCATGTTCTAGGAGTATTGGCGCAAATTGAAGCCATTTGTCAAACCCTTTTGAATAAGAATGGAGCGGAAATTTGTAAATTATATTATTAAATTATTATCAAAATAGAAAGGAATCAACCTCTGTCTTCAATTTCAATGTAAGATTAATACAAATCTGACTTGTAGAATGATTTTTGTGTAATAAATGTTTGGAAAAGCCTGACAGTGGCTTACTCTCTTTTAACTCTTAAAACTTAATATGATCGTTTTCAAACAAACACAAAACATTCAGCTATAAGCTGAGACCCAGTTCTTAAAACGTATCGGAGCTCATGAAAAATTTTAATCACATTTAGCTTTTCAAATCTGTTAAAATTAAATGAAAGAACGGTTTAATTATCCAACGGCACGGGCAATTCACTTGAAAAGCAAGGTGTCATGAATATTTAACGAAAGCTTGGCTTACCCCTCGGGAAACAACTGTATCAATATTGTTACCTACTGAATACAATGGCTAAGAATAACAACAAATCACAGTAAGCTGAATTTAATGTGATCCAATCAAATGAATAAAATTGAATTCACGACTTGATCATATGAACATTCCGAGTTCAGAGACCTGTCTTTAACAATCCCATGTCGATAGTCGTTCATTCTCAATCCGTTATCATGCCAAAAGCCCATCGTACATCATACAATCTAGCCTTCAAACTTAAAATAGTCGCCAAAGCAGAAGCCGTCGAGGACAACTCTGAGATCACGAGGGAATACGGCATCGGTGAGTCAATGGTTCCACGCTGGAGAAAAGACCAAGAAAACCTCTTCGATGGCACAATAGAACTGTCTGCAAAACGCAAAACGATGGGCTGTTTTACACCAAAGTATCCTGAGATGGATCAAGATTGCTGGAATGGTTTACTGAGCAGAGAAGTCAAGGTGAGAATCATGTGACAAGTTTGTTTACACATCAGTGGGAACAGAACATTCTCATTGGTCAGGTTTTTGATAGTTGTCAAAACATTAGTATCATTGCTTATGTGTTCTATCTTTTCTTCATTTTAGGAATTGCTGTCGGTGGACTGATGTTGCGCTTGAAGGCAAAAGAATTCTGCGATGATCCCACATTCAAAGCATCTGTAGGCTGGTACATAAACTGGAAGCGGCGCCATTCCATCACTCTCCGAACGAAGACCACCCTCGCCAAGCGTCTGCCAAACGATCTCGCAGAGCAAACAGTAAAACTCCACCGGTCCGTGATCGCAGCTCATCAGCACCGTGGATGCCCTTTGTCCAGAATTTTCAATATGGATGAGACACCAATGCAGTTCGAGATGCTGTCCAGATGTACTCTAGAATTCAGTAGCAGCCAAACAGTTCCTGTGAAATCCTGTGGCGCAGAGAAGAGAAGTTTCACAGTCACATTGGCGGTCGCTGCTGATGGCAAAAAGCTGCCTCCTAAAGTTATCTTTAAAGGCGTACGAACCCTGAGAGACCTGGTTCTTCTGGACTCCGTTTGTGTTTCATTCCACAAAAAAGGATGGATGGATGAAGCTGGTAAGTTAACAGTTTTGTGTTGTTCATATGTGCTCTTTTGTCTGTGCTCTTTACTCGTGTTTAAAGCCACATGCTTTATTGAAGTCTTTAATTAAAGTGAGGTCTAATCGATTGTTGTATTCTTTCTTTCGTTATAGGCATGAAGGAGTGGATTCGTACCTGCATGCAAAGAAACCCCACTGGTGAGCGATCGCTGTTGGTTTGGGACTCCTTTCGTGCTCACCTTACTGAGTCAGTGAAAGAAGCATTACAGCGGCAAGTATTGATGTAGCTTTTATTCCCAGTGGCTTAACTCCAGTTCTCCAGCCCTTAGACAAGTGTCTAAATAAGCCCTTCAAAGAGAATATGAGAAGAAAGTACCTGCCGTGGATGGTAACTGGCCCCTTTGAGTTTACTCCTGCTGGGAAAAAGAAAGCACCGTCAAGAAACCTCATTCTACGTTAGGGAGATCCCAGAGGAGATGGTGAGGAAATCATTTCTTACTTGCAGCATCTCCAATGCGCTTGATGGCACTGAGGATGACGCCATCTATGAAGAGGAGCAAGACAATGACACCGAAGAAGATGAGATGGATGAAGAATTTGATACAGAAAGCGAAGATGAGCCATAAGCTGACATCCTTGAAAGTGCAGTTCACGACAAAAAACAAACGGCTCCTTTAGGAGCCACCACATATTAAAAGTTAATGACCAATAACTCCTGCTTTTTTGTCCATGTGTTTTGCTCGGCTTGTATGCAAATCTATGAGTATTTATCTTAGTTTTATTAAGTCCATAATTTTTGTTCAGGTTAAACTCTCGGCTATAAGCCGAAACCCCCTCTACAAGTCAGATTTTAATTTAAGTTAGGCTAAACGTATAAAATTCGCTTGGCTTAAAGCTGTTAAAATTCGATAACTTTTATTACTAAACCCTGTGTATATTTAAAGACCTACAAGTATAGCTGTTTATGTTGTAGGTACTTCCTTAAATGAGAGTCATTGCTTTTAAACACACTTATTTTAACTTTTTGTCTAAAGATAAGAGACGGGTTGGCAACTGTTATCTTCTTAATCATATAAACCTTGGTGACTTTTTCTGTCAATCCTGTACAGTGGACAACAGCACCAGTTTCATAATTAATACCATGTATATGGCACCAATTGGTCCCACAATTAATTAGATACCTTTATTAAGTTTTTTTTTTCCAGGTTAATTTCAATGCATTAACAAGTGAAAACAACTTTACCAATTCCCACCAAAGTACTACACAGCACTTAATCTTTTACTATGAGAAGGCCCTACTTACAACATGAGTTACTTAAAGCACTTCACACAGAAAGGGACCTATCTATCAAAAACTAACTTCTTGTCTATCACAACAGAGACATTATCGATCTCCACCATAGAAGAAGAAAAAAAACGACTTTTGAAAGTATTTTGAGTGTCGGCTCAGAGAGAAACAAGAGATATTCATAGGTATTTTTGGAATATTGCTACCTGTTCCCTGTGGCACAACTATACTGACAATGACCACTCCAATTTACAAATGTCATAAATGTAAAAATTATGACACCTGTGGGTGTGTGCTTTTTGCTAGTTTTTCGATAAATTTTCTTGCTCCCAATCTTAGGGCACAATATAAGTCAAAATAATGAATCACATGAAGAAATTTCAGCAATGCAAGCTCCTCAAAAGACATCACTGGGGGAGAACAACAAACATTAAAGGCCAAGCTTTCTTTTGATGCCTGGTCACAAAAGCCACCACTACCAGAGAAGGAGACAAGGGACACTCTCCAGAATTACTTGATCAAGAAATTGCCTTCCCTCTCAATGAAAAAAATTTCAAATCTTAAAAACAACTTTTTAGAGAGTGTGTTGGCTATCTTATTAGACAGCAGTTGTTTCTTTAAAATAAGAGAGGTTGTTAAATCAAGCGAGTGTTGTCAACCACAACAAGCAACTAAACCTACAGGAAAAAAGCTTGGTTTGTCAAAACCTTAACAGAGCAACTACAGTAAGCCAAGAATCAACATCTCACCAAATTAGCAACAAATTTAGTGCTTCATGAAAATCAAACCAGAGAAGAATCAAGGTGATTTGAGCAATGCCTGAAAAAGAACCAAGGGCCCTTCACTTTGTGCAATTCACAAGAAATCCAACATAACTTGTCACAACTTACAAAGCGAGATAAAACCACTGTATGATTAAACCCAA